TGAGTGACCACAATCACATCTCCTTCTATTGATAACAGCTATTGAATGTCCCTGCATGGCTGATAAGAACTACAGCATCCCATTGGGAGATGGGAGCCCAGAGGGAGGAGCCAAGCATTCCTACCCAGATATAATCCAGAGGTTTTTGAGACACCAGCACGGCTTCTGCAATGGATTCCCCAGAGGAGCAGCAGCTGCCTCTTCTTCCCTGGATCTTCAGAGGAAGAATACATCCTTCTCTACAGAACCCCCTTGCTCCAGCAGAACCACCCCTGACACTGCAGGAGGGCTGAGCCACAATTCCAATGGGACTGCTGCCAACACCCTGACCCACAGGGTGTCAGGTTGTGTTCTGACTCTGGCAGTGTTGTTCCAGTGTACTGCATTGTTTATTTTATCCTTTTTTTTTTCCTTCCCTATTAAAGAACTGTTATTTCCTGCTGCCATATTTTTTGCCTGAGAGCCCCTTAATTTAAAATTTATAGCAATTCAGAGGGGTGGGGAGAGGGTTTACATTTTCCATTTCAGGGGAAGTTCCTGCCTTCCTTAGCAGGCTCCTGTCTTTCCAAACCAAGACAGGTTAAAGGGTGCTTTCTGTCAGGAATGGCAGAGGGAACTGGGATTGGTGCTTGTTATTGTTTATTTAGGGGGGGTGTTGGTAGTGTTTGTTTATTCAGCATTGTTGGTGGTGGATCCTTACCCAGAAGCCTGGGCTAACTGGGGTGTTGCTGGTTATGGCCTTGGGATAGGGTTGGTTGTGGTTGGGATAGGGTTATGTGGTTATGGCTTTGGGATAGGGCTGGTTGTGATGGTGGGGATTGCTATAGGGGGTGTCCCCCGAACCTTCCTTACTCCTCCTTCCATTAAATGTCAATCCCTCCCAGAACCTGCCCTTCCCTATAGAAACTTCCCTGTCAGTTTTGCACCCTTTGAAACCCCATTAGTTCACTTAAGCTGCTCTCCTCCCTTGAAATCCTCCACATGGTATTCCCTGCCTTGTGTTCCACCCCAGTTCTCAAGATTGGTTAAAGATTGTATCCTCCCCTGAGACCTCCCCTGTTTATAAGCTGCTGTTTGCCCTCAGTTTGGGGTCCTGTGACCTTGGATTTGGGGAGTTTTGCCATCGAATGAAGTTATCCCAGTTCTGCTGCATTTTTGATTCTACAGAGCTCAAAAAGGGGATCTGTGACACCCCTGATATCACCTAGCTGGGACTTAGGGTGCAGCAAGACAATTATTTACACTGAATAAAATTTCCTAACACCCTCTCATTCAGTATCCACCCCCAGTTCACTTCTTCCTCTCTCATTAGGTAATCTTGAAAACCACGACTGAATTAACTAGTGATCGGTTACGCCTAAGAAAATCTTTTCTGGCTTTGTAATCAAAGAAAGATGGAGCAGGAACTTACATGTGCAGAGACTTCTGGGCCTTGGCTGCTTCCTCCTTGGAACTGTATCGGACCACAGCATTGCCTTGGGTCAGGTTCAAGTGGAATGTGATGAGGGGGCCGTGCTGCAGACACAGCGTGCGCAGCGTGGAGCCATCGATCTGCAGGGACAGGGCACACAGGTCACAGCTGCTCCTGCCTTCCCTCCTGCTCCTCTTAAGGGGGGATTGAAGGGTCTCAGATGGTCTTTTGTGTTTAGACTTGTATGTGTATTTTTATCCATATTTATTATTATTATTTTCCCACATTTATTTATTATTATCATCCATATTATTATTATTATTATCCATATTATACCTTGTGAGTTCTATGGTATTTTACTAATAAGTTTAAAATGGTTAACTATTTTTCTAGATAAGGTTTTTTAAGGGTAAATTATCTAATTAAGAAATGATACTTAAATTATTTTTAACTCAATAACTAATCCTTTCAAGTCCACAATGTGGACTTTTCTATCTAATTACAAAATATTACCCAAAACTGTGGAGAAGAAGAAGGATTAGTTACTATCCTAAAACTTCTATTTTGCTTTATATTACCCAAAACTATGAAGAAGGTGGTGAAGAAGAAGGATTAGTTACTATCCTAAAGCTTCTATTTTATATTACCCAAAACTATGGAGAAGAAGGTGAAGAAGAAGCATTAGTTACTATCCTAAAACTTCTATTTTGTTATATATATATTGCTATTTCAAAACTTTAAGTTTTTAACTTGAAGATTTTAAACTTTAAGTTTTTAACTTTAGATTTTATTGTTTAATATTGTTTAAGTTTTATTGTTTAATAAACAAGTTTTTTCCCACTTTTCTCCAAAGAAGTATTTTCTCCCGAACTGGTGATATTTCACACTTCTAATTAAACTACACACCCATAATCCCAGTGCTATTAATTAATTTTTGAAGCTTTTTTTATGGCTTCAGGTTAAATGTAGTATTTTCTAGTGGGTTTGTGCCTTTTAGTACAGAAAGTTTAAAATTCTTAGCATCCTGAGTTCCAACAGGTTACCTGTGGTATTGTCATTTTACCTTATATGCTTAATTAAAAAGTATTTAAAGCTAAAGAGAGAGTACAAGTGAAAGTTAAGTACTTAATTGCACACTTATTGCTCTCTTCATTGAGGGGGACATTCTGATTTTTAAAGAATTCCCTACAGTCCAGAGCACAAATTCTCTCAATTTAGGTTACACAAATTATATTTATCATTAGACATCTGTAGAAATCCCGAAATAAGTCAAAGGGAAAACACACTTCATAAATGTAATTAAATTTTTCCCAAGGTTAATTTGGATGTCTGCATCCAAGGCTTTGTGGCTTATGTTCTCCCTCTGGAATGACACCATGAAGGACAAGTAGAGGATGTGACAGACACATGAGAAGAACCCAAAAAAACCCATAGGAAAATCAGATTTTACATCTCTGTCTGTGCTTTACAACATCATTCACCTCCAAAGTTACACACAGAGAAACGGTGCCCACTGAATGATTAATTACAGGCTTGAAAATTCACACTTGATTTGACAGCACTTTGAAAACTTAACAAATTCCCTGTAGAAGACAGGTGATAAATGCAGAATAATTATTCTTCTTTCAAATGAATCAAATTGCCAAGGCTGCTAGGTATTATTCTCATAATCTCTTATATTGCAGTGTTTTTTCCTGGCCAGTTTTGCAGAGTTGCAGTTACCTGGGGGGTGAGGTTCCGCAGAACCAGCCAGCTGCTTGTTCTCCCTGAGCTGTCAGTACTCCATGCAGAACCTGCAACACAAATTCCACAACACAACATTTGATCAAGGTCTCTGGAGAGCACCTTACAGGCAAATTTAGCTGGAATCACAACACACTAACAAAGCCTCAGTGCTGCTGAAAACAAATCCTACAGCAGTTTCCTAACATCTTGATTTACTGCCTCCCTTGGAAGGAAAGGCTGCTGAATGAAAGAAAAGCTGCTCTTGTTACTTTTCAAAGATCTGTGGCATTTTTCATACTCCCACAGTAAATATCAGGGAACTAACAGATGCAGCTATGGCACTGCAACAAGCTGGATCCTCAGGATGCATTGCAATTAATCTGGAAGACACATTTTAAAAGGAGTTCTGATGTCCAGGCTCAGATTGCTGCCTGCTAATAAAGATTTTTATAGCACTGCAGCACTATGCTCTCTTGTCAATGACAGATTAATGTGTACGACTTATTCAAAACAGGTATTTCTGCACTGACAATGTCCTGATTGGAGATACAAGACCATAACCAAAAAAACCTGCCCTAACAACCTCAGCCTGGTGCTTTACAGCAAGAAGCTGTACAAGCTTGATATTTATGAGTGGCATTTGAGAGTCACAGTGCATCCTGGGGGTGCTCCAGAGAGAATCCTGGAGCTTTATCTGACCTTCCAGGTGGGGGTTTGGTGAAGAAATATTCAAAATAAATGGCAGGAAGAGGGAAGAACATTTAATTCTCAACTAAGTGTAAGCTGATTATTAAAAGAGCTTTATAAAATAGAAGTAATACCTGTATATATATCTATATTTATATCAACAGAGATATCTAAATACAGATATACATATTTAGCCAGATCCATGGCTTCTCAAATTAATATTAAAGCAAACAAAGGTATATAAAAAAAGGGCCAGCATGAAAAAATTCAGGCATTCCCTGAGGGCCCTGCAATGCCATCAGGTCCTAAATGCTTCACATCCATGTGTTCCATATAAAATTCCACAGGCTCCACTTGGAGTCTTAGATCACACCACAGAACAGGACACATGTTTGAAAGACATTTTTAAAAATTAAGGAACTGGGGGGAAAAAATCCTAGTTGAGAGTTCAAGAAATCGGGCAATTCCTATGTACCATCACCACCATGACCAGCTGAAAGATGCTTCATTTACAACTCATTGAAAGTGAAATAAAGAGACAAGAGATGCATCCCCAGCACAGAACACTCCAGCTGTGTTTAAGCTCTGCTTTCTGGAGCCTCACAGGCAGAGCAGAAGCAAACAATGCTGAAAAGAAAGCAGCAGAAGGAGCTGTGAGTACCAGAGGAGTAAGAAGAGCTGGTCCAGCCCAGGGGACTGGCACCCCACGTGGAGGATGGCTTGGTGTTGGTGAGGCCTGGAGGAGGTCTGGTTGGAGCTGTAGTGTTTCTGGGTACCTTCCAGAGTTCGTGGGACAGAGAGGCTTGGGTGTGAGAGATTGGGCCAGAGGACCACGTGGACTTGATGTCTGACAGTTTACCTGCAACAGAAAAACGTTTTGGTGTACATTGGGGTGTTCTTCACCAATGGGCATCCTGGGCTACATCCTCCCAGCTTCTCAGGAGGAAAATATCAACTTTCTGTACCATCCAGTGCTATAAATCCTGTATTAAATATATTTGAATAATCCTATATTTGAACCTACTTACACCACTGTTCACAATTTGCAGTACTTTTGTGTTTACTGAGCCTCACACTACCTGCTACATACAAGATCCCTTTTGAAAATCTATTGTTTTGTTTTCTTGTAAAAGAAAAGAAACAAGTCCAGAAAATGAATGTAGGTATTTGAAACCTGATTTCACCAAAATTATAATGAAACACTTCAAGATTGTCTCTCTCAAAGGTTTAACAGGACTTAAACACTTTCTCTTGCACAACTCATTTTACCTAATATAAAGAATTCAGTATATCCATATGTTCTGCTGATGTATTATTAAAATTCTAAAGATCAAAGACCAACAAAAACTTTATTTCTGAATATCTGAAGTAACCTATATTCTTTTTTCCAAGTATTTTTGAGAAAAACTAAGTCTTCAGAAGATCAGACCACACCACAACCCTTCAGTCTTTATAACTTACTGCTGTTGCTTGTTCTTTCCCTGATCAGTTTTCAAACTCTTACTGCTGTAACTGCCAATTCAAAGTTTTATAAAATAAAACAAACCCAAGAACAGCAGACACATTACAGCATTCAGAGGGGCAGACTGGATTGATTTAAATAATGGATAAGAAAACCAATCTTTATTCACCTTTAGCCTTTTCTCCTGATGTGAGAGTGCTGTGCAATCAGAGCCCAATTTCCCTATCACAGCCCAGTCCTGCTGTTACCAGCACTGGCAGCACATGGAGGGCTGGAATGGACTGAAAAGGACACAAATCCTGCATCTTCTGCCCCAGCAAATGATGCTGTGACTGTGCTGCCCCAATGTTTTCATGCTGATTGCACAGAATAAGGAAATATTTGGTCTGATAAAGTCCAAGGTGCAAAGATCTTGTGAATTTTTATAAAACTAGAACTGGGAGTTTTAATTTTCAGTGCTTAAGACATCAGGCAGGCACTGAGTAATTTTATGAGTCCCAAAGCCAAATTTATCAGTTGCAAAATCCCAGGCTCAGTTACACACACACACACATTCCCCAAATTGCCTCCATTTATCTCAATCATTTAACTCAATTATTTCATACTGAATCATAACAATTTAAGTGAAAGGGCAACCACACTCCCATCTTCTGGCAAATTGTAGCAACAGAAATAATTTGACAATGACAATGAGGACATCAATGAGTGTAAAATGGTGAGAGGGGAGGAGGAAGTCTGAGTTTGAGAGCTCAGAGCAGCCCCCAAGACTGGCACAGCACCACAGGCCAGGTGCTGCTATGTCACTACTTCTCATGGGGGTAACACAAACATTAGATGACACTGCAAAAACAACAACAAAAAAAAAAGGCAGCAAATAAAGCAGAAATGCATGGCAGATAAAGAAAAGCAAGCCACTCCTTTCTTTTCCTTTCACTGGAGGAAAACATCCTAAACAAGTTCTTTTTGTTTTGCATTCTGCAGCCTGAACCAGAGGCTGCACCTTCAGAGAAGTGGAGGGGTTTCAGTGGATCAGCATTTTCTTATCTAATCCATCTATACAGCCCAACACAACTTTACAATGGGACAAACTGCATATTTGGGCAGCCAGTTTGCAAGCAAAGTTTCCATGCTTTGCAAAAAGGAGCTCCAGAATTTAGAGCTCAGCAAAGAAAATGGGGTAATTATTTAGCTCATGCCTATAGGGGAGCATCAGGCTTTGGCCTGATTACTAAAAGGCACTGAAGAAAAGGAAATTATTTAGCTCATCCATATAGGGGAGCATCAGGCTTTGGCCTGACTATTAGAAGACATTGCAGAGCCCCAAACCCAACCCCCAGAGCCATGACAAAAGTACCCCTTGGAGGTACTACTGAAACTGAGGTGTTTCACTTTTAACAGTGAGTTTTTTACACAAATTTCACATCAGCTCTTCCAGGAAGGGTCTGTTCCTGCTGAGCAGTGTTCCTCCCCCAAAGATCTTGATGCCAGAGTGACACCAAGTGGGAATAAATCTCTTTTTCCTCAGCACAATCCCAGGCTCACCATCCACCACTCCCCACCGCAGAGCTGCCACCCAGCACAGGGCTCCAAACTCACTTCTGCCTGGGGCAGCCCTCCTGTCAGCACTGGAAAAGCACTCCCTAGGGACTTTTCCTGGGAATGCAGAAGCTGTGGAAGCAGAAAGGCCGTACCTGCAATGCTAGGTGCAGATGCAATGCTGCTGAAAGAGCTACTGTAGCCGGAGGCACTAAGCGGCCAGGCACTCGATGAAGGCAGCGTGGCATTCTGAGATGATGTTGGGGATGACCCTGCAGAACCAGCAGAGAAGCAACTAAGAAAGATGGGCATAATGATGTTTGGTGTGACATAAGCAAATTTGTTATGTGCAAATACAAACCATGCAAGGAATTCTCCTTAATTAGCCTGGTCTCTGAAGTCTAGGAATGAAATGTTGCTGGAAGCGTGATAAAGTAGGAGGAAAGAGAAGCAAGCTGGCACAGGAACAATTCCAGTGCAGAAGGTAAATTCTGCATTTCCTTTAAGATACATGACTCAAAAAGTCAGTGTTAAAGTGTTTAGTCTCAGAGGAAAAGGCTTCAATTATAAATGTCCTCTGCCAGCTGACTTAGGCAATGGGAAGTGTAGATGAGCAGAGATGTGTATGATAAATTAACCTCTTACCATGGGTGATCTGTCCTAAATTACTCAAGGTAAACACTTCCCCTACATCCTAATGCCTCCAAGTATCTTTAAATTTTTGCAGACTTTCAGTAAAAGCAAAGATATATTTCAGCAATCTCTTCTCAAACTGATAACATAAATGAAATAGCCCAAAACCACCTCAGTAAATCATTGAGAATCCGAGCAGCTATCTAAGCACATGCACAATTTCCTTACTGGCAGCAAATGAAAGAAACTGAACATAAAATCAAAAATCTTCACTGCAAAGATCAGGAGAGCTGGAACTATTCTCTCTAGCCACCAACAAAATCAAGTGTGTATCCTGGGTGAGTTATCATTCCTGACACCCAGAGATGGGCTGTGATACTGAAACATCTTTAACTGACTAATACAAATAGCTGAGCTCTGTAGCAAAGAGCACTGTGTTGAGGTAGAAGGGAAGAAGTAAAAGGACAATCTCATCCCTCACAGCTCAATAAAAAACACAGGCTTTGTTTTCAAATGGAACAGCAAGCAATCAAACTTCACCTTAACCAGACTCCCTGTGCTCCAAGGGACACTGATGCAGACATCAGTTTAAGGCAACAGAACTCTGTATCAAACCCTGTCTGGAAATAATCTATTCCCAGGCAGGAAGTATGGAATTATAGCAGATTCAAAGGCTCACAGAGCTGAAAATGGTCCTGATTCCTTGTGGCTACAACTCTCAGCTCATAGAAGCTGACCCTCCAAAGCTTCATTAGCAAATAGGGCAAAGCAAAAATCAACCCAGAAGCTGAAGTTTTACCTGTTTTTAAGTGCACAGGGCAAGGATAGCACACCCCAGAGCCTGACCCTCTACCTGAGGAGCAGCTCTGTCAACACAAGCCCTGTGCTTCAGGCTGCAGTTATACAAGCATAAAGAAACAGACTCTGCAACTATAGTTCTTACTAAAATTCTATTATTACCAAGCTAAAAAGCTAATGAGGAAAAGAAGCACACACACTGACCCCCCCCCAGAGGCACTGGTTTTAAGGTCTGACCTCTTGAGGGCCAGTTTACTTCTGCTAAGACCATCTTTGTTGACTCTGTCTAATGAGAGGAGCTATTTCTTCACTCCACAGGCAGATTATGCACCCACAGAGCTCATGTTCCTCCTCTAAAGCAGCAAGATCTGTAGTGGATATCAGCTGATTTTACAGGGAGAGCTCTGTAGGTTTAGGTTTCTGGCCTGAGGAGTATTTCTTGGGTGAACTCTATTTGAAGTGTCACTGAATTAAACATTTTACAGCTTTTCTTCTTATAACTTCAAACCTGCCTGTCCCCTTGGAAGCACTTTGGAGTAATTTAAGTTAATTTAACCTTACTCATTACCCAAATACTTCATGTTTCAGCTGAAAGAAACGCTGCTTCTTGCTAAGAGACAAACAAAATCAACACTTTGCATTCCTTTCCCTCATGTTTCACAGCCCTTACCTGAGGTAACAAGCTCAGAGCTGGACCCCCACTTCAAGGGGGTCACAGATTTACAATCTGGGCTGGTATCACAGATGTAATAACTGTTAAAACAAACCTCACATTTTCACTCCTGACAGGTCCTTCTGGACAGCCTGGTTATGCTATTCCTGTGCCAGCTGCAGTGCTCTGACAGAGTGCAGATAACTTGGCTATTCTGGCACTCAGATCACAATTAACCAAGCCACCTTTCCCTTGATCAACTTCCAGCACATGTGGCTAACAAGTAGCACAGTCACAATGCTTTCTTGTTTTATAGAATTGCCTTTTTATTCTGAAGCAAGCACTGCTAAGACAAAAGGAATGGAAACAGTACTGGGAAATACTAGTTTACTAGTCAATTCCCAAGTTTATCTTTTATGGTTTTGGAGATAAACCAGTTCTAATTTATTTTACTTATTGATCTTCTAACAAATCTACAATGAATTAATGTACCAGAAGCCTGCTGTCTCTGCAACAACTGTGGAACTTTGTATTGAGTCTTCTGAGAATTTCACTAAGTATGGAGGAGGGTGGGCATTGTGGAGAGCAAAATATTGTTCAGAACCTTGTGATACAGGTCAGAAAAACTTCCAGTGACCACAGAAGTTTAAATTACATCTCACAGCCTTTTCCAATATAAAAGTATTTACATTCCCATGGAAAACAAGAAACTTCTAAATCCTTTCTTTTAAAACAATCATTTCTGGATATTCAGTGACAGTTCTGAGCAGAAGCATTATTAGATTAGGAGCACATGCAAAAAATATGTTCATCTGTAACAAATGAGGCCAACCCTTTTTTGGAAGGGGAAAGAAATGATGCAGAGATGTGGAAGCAGTTTGTTGTTTACCTCCACTCTTGAGCAGATAGCGATTCACATCCTGGATCGTGGTGTTGATGGTAGGCCCAGTTGGAACACTGCCAGGAGTAACATCAGGGTCATTTTCAGGATCAATATTCTGCAGTCCTTTCCATGGCACTCCTGGGTGAAACTCTGTTTCCAACACAATAAAAAGGGAAATGTGTCAGGTTGCAATTCTCCAAAGCTCCTGTGCTGTATTTACAAGGTGTCCCGATGAAGGGAGGAATGATGAATTTGACTCCATATACTCAGAAGGCTAATTAATTATTTCATAATACTATATTATATTAAAGAATACTATACTAAAGAATACAGAAAGGATGCTTACTGAATGCTAAAAAGATAATAATGAAAACTGGTGACTCTTTCCAGAGTCCTGACAGAGCTTGGAACTGATTGGCCAATGAGTCAAAACAACTCACACTGGAGTCCAATGAAACAATCACCTGTGAGTAAACAATCTCCAAACACACTCCAAGTAAACACTATATACTATACTGAAGAATACAGAAAAGATACTTTTATAAGTATAAAGATTTAGTATATATTTTTAGCATAAGATACACTAAAAGGATAATAATGAAAACTCCTGACTCTCTCCAGAGTCCTGACACAGCTTGGCCCTGATTGGCCAAAGAGTGAAAACAACTCACAGCAGAAACTAATGAAACAATCACCTGTGGGTAAACAATCTCCAAACACATTCCAGACAAGGAAAACACACAGAAGCAAATGAGATAAGAATTGTTTTCCTTTTCTCTGAGGCTTCTCAGCTTCCCAGGAGACAAATCCTGGGCAAAGGGATTTTTCAGAGAATGTGAACGCCATACTCCTGTGCATCAGGGGGACTCAACAACACGTTTGAGGGACAGCAGCCCAACAGCAAGGCTTTGGATTGAGTTACCTGGTGGCCAGTTTATGCTGGAGCCATTGGAAATCTTATCACTATCGGATTTGGCACGTGACCAGCTGTGAGGAACAGCTACAGGTGGGCTGGCAGGAGACTCACTGTTCTGCATCAGATCATAGCGGCCGTAGGAGTCATCGAGGGAGGACTTGCCCGGAGGACCAATGCTCAAACCTCCAGGGATAGCACCTGCAAGATGTCAAACAGAGGTTGTAGGATGGAATTGCAGCAGGATATATTTTGTTATTATTTGCCTTTTTTTTGTATAACAAAGATAAAAAGAAAACTAAAATGCAAATGCAGTAAGCCAAGCTTAATGGCATCTGAAGCCTTAGCAGGAATTACAGTTGAGAGACACATTGGTGGTACAATCTAGATACTCAAATTAAAGAATTCTGCATTAAATTCCTGCCAAAAAGAGACTATGTAATTCAAATCATCACTCTGTTGGTAAATAGGAACTTGCTGAGGCAGCACACCAAGGAATATCCCTCATTTCATCCTTCCCCAAGCATTCAGTGCTGACAGGATGGATGATTCGAAATGGCTGTTCTCATGTTCCTACAAACTATCAAACAACAATTTGGCATCAGCAGTGCAGCTACTTGCAGAATAAAAAACTGCTGTAAAAGAAGTAATTCATGCTGCTCAGAATAAAATCCAGGATATAATAAAGTTAACAGAGCCCCATGTTCTAACAGAATAAATTTGATACAGGAAATAAAGGAATAACTGGCTCAGGATACTGGAGGTGTTAAGGATAAGGGTATTCAAATAGATTAGCAATCACTTCTGGAAAAGCAAGAAGTTTTTACCCCTAATTCTAGGGTGAGCACTATGTAATCCATCATACTTTGCACAAGGAAAGGTTGATGATACTGGAAAAATTGTGGGAGAAAGCCAATGTAAAGTTTTTTTGGATTAAAGGTATGCTGGTCTGGAATAAGGGGAAGATTGTGGGACTTGTTTTGCCAACACTAAAGGCTTGTTTTACTTGAACTCCATGTTCTCAGCAACAAAATTCAACACATGAAAAATACATTCCTACACTGCATGCAGGGAGTGACAGCTGCAAGCCTTTCACTGCAGAAATCATCTATAAAATCTCACAGGCTCAGAGGCTACCAACCTTTTGTGAGCACTTACACAAAAAAAGAACACGAGAGAAATAATTGCAATTGCACTGTGGCTGGAATCACCAAAAGCCAGGCAGGCAGGGGGACATGGCGGGGACAATGGCAGGGGACATTACCGTGCTTGCTGGAGTTCTGGTCAAGAGAAGAAGCAGCACTAGACAGATTATCCATTGAGTTGGGGTGTGTCCACTGAGGAAGGCGAGACTGGGACTGAGAAGTGTCCTTCACTGACAAACCACCAGTAATGTCCATGTTATTTACATTCATGTTCGGGTTCAGTCCAGCTGGGAAGGGAAAGAGATCCTTAGAAATCCATCAGACACTGAGGGATTGAAAAGCTGGGTTTGAAATCCAGCCACAACATTGATTTTCAGGTATCTGTATGCATATGGGGCATTTTCAATGCACATTTTCAAGAATTTTTGCTTTTACGGAACACCAATTGAACTCCCATGAATTCAGAAAAAAGTTAAAACCTTGCTAAAAAGAGGGGGGAAAACAAAATATAGGGATAGTATTTTAAAGCTATCAGTGTTTCTACTTGCAGTCTCTTCACTTGCCTTAGAAGAATATACTGGAATATTGAGTTTAAACCAGTCTGCACCATTCCATGGCTAAGCCAAAATATTCCTAATGTCTCCCCAGCATCCCCCACAATGTCTGCCACTTCATTTTGCTAAAAATCCCCCAAAAAAGGAACTAATTAAAGGTCAGAAAAACAGCTGCTGTTTTTCATAGCAGGTTCTGCACTAACTGGTTTCTATTTTGTATACACAGAAGAGAATCACTCAGACTGTTATTAAGGGAATAATTTTGAAATGCTTCTGTGACATGAATCTGGGTCTTTCTTGATATATAATCCCTAATGTTAGCAGATCACAGAAAGCTGAGATATCATAAGAACCTCTCAGACTTAGGCCTTTAATTCACAAATTTTTTTTTGCATTCTGATGCTGCCAGGCACAACAGCTCACCACAGCAGTCAGAATTACCTTCTTAACTGCTGCATGGCAGATAAAGCTTGGCAATGCTATTGTATTCAGCATAAAGAGAGTCACAAAGAGATTAAATTAATTCCTTTATGTCAGAAAGGAAGTCTGTAGCATACATCAAACAATAACACAGCAAACAGGTCTGAAAGGTTGCTCTCCTCCCTCTGTACCACGCCCAATCAATTATTTTGACTTCAATCATATTTGACAGATCTATGTCTAACCTACCACAAAATGCTGGTGAAGATTTCAGGAACTTCCTAGATCATTTATTCCCCTACTCTACTCTGCTTAAGCCAAGTGATCCTTAATGTCTAGATCTTTTAATAAACTTAAGTTTATTACCTCTTGCATTAGGAAATGCAAAAAAAGTCTTTCTAGCTCTCCTTTACATTTTTGAAGATTCTTAAATCTTCTCTTTAGACTTCTGAGCAGAGGATTTTATTTTTTCCTTACCAGTTGTGTTTTTGAAATGCTTCATCACCTCCACTACAATCTTTCTGCATTCCTTCTAACTGCTCCATGTATTTCTTGAAATACATTGACCAAAACTGATCCCTCACCAGTGCTGACAACAGCAGAAAGATGACTTTGCACAACATTTTCCTAGATGATATTCCTGTTTATCAATATGACATTTGTATATTTTACAGCATGATGCTGTTTATATTCAGTTCATAAATAGCAACATAGGGCATGGGTTGGACTCTGTGATCTTAGAGGTCTCTTCCAACCTCATTATTCTGTGATATATAAGTAGTTAATTAGGCAAATATTCTGATATTTGTAGGCAGAGCACAGGTGAGCAGGTACAGCTACCATAAAGGCATGATTTTGTTCTGTGATTTCAGTGCTATTTAATTTAAATTAAAACAAACGCACATATGTATATTTAAAAATTATAATTACATATATATTTCTCTCTCTCCATATATCTATCTCTATCTATATATTTTATGTATGTATATATATATATCGCTTCTATACCTATACATCTATATATCTATCTAAATATCTATATCTATTTTTATATATATATACATATACATATATATATACACACACATATCTATACATATATATACATATATATAGAGAGAGATATATAAATATATATAGATATATGTCTTTGTTACAGTGTGGAGCAAAATATTGAGGTGTAAATTGAGGAGATGCCTATACATCTATACATCTATATACCTATCTAAATATCTGTATCTATATCTATCTATCAATATAGATATATAGATATATATAGAGTGATATATAAATATATATATATATATATATAGATATATGTATTTATTACAGTGTGGAGCAAAATATTGAGGTGTAAATTGAGGAGATGCCTATACATCTACATATCTATATATCTATATCTATATCTATATCTATATCTATCTATATCTATCTATCTATAGAGAGAGAGAGACATATAAACATATAGATATACAGATAGAGATATGTATTTGTCACAGTTTGGAACAAAATATTGAGGTGTGACTGGAGGAGATGGCTATACATCTACACATCTATATATCTATCTAAATATCTATGTCTATATCTATATCTATCTATCTATATATATATATAGAGAGAGAGAGAGAAAGAGAGAGAGAGATATAAACATATAGATATAGAGATATGTATTTGTCACAGTTTGAAGCAAAATCCTGAGGTGTGAGTGGAGGAGCTGGGCTCCCTGTGAGGAGCTGCTGCAGGAGGAACTCACCAAGAGGGTAAGGAGCAAAGGTGTTCGGTGAAGACTGTTGCTCTTTGGTCTGCAGGTCAGGAAGGCCGGGAGCCTGGGGATGGGGTGAAAAGCTATCCATGGCTGATTTGCCTGCAGAGGGGTGCAAAGATAGATGTGGAGGGGGAGGCTGCTGCTTCATAAGCAGGGCCTGGGCCAGCTGGCGCTGGTGCTGCTGGATCTGCTGCTGCATGTTATTGATTGTACGTGCAACCTGCAGGGAGAGAGGCAACACCACCTGTCAGTGGGCAATCCACACAAACACACTGCACTTCTCTGCCTTTCCCTACAGTGAAACAACACACTGCATCTCCTCACAAATACAAACTGCCTGTGCAAAGGGCTGGAGAGCTTTCCTCCAGCAAGGCTTTGGATCAGCTTCATTTTTTTATTTTATTTTTACTCAGCACCTTCCCTGCTCAGCACTCAAACCACACACTGCATCCCAGATTTAAAGATGCTTTAGCTGCTTTGCTGTAACAACAAACACTCTGCCTTTATCTACAGTGAAACAACACACTGCACCTCCTTACAAATACAAACTGCCTGTGCAAAGGGCTGGAGAGCTTTCCTCCAGCAAGGCTTTGGATCAGCTTCATTTTTGATTTTATTTGTACTCAGCACCTTCCCTGCCCAGCACTCAAAGCACACACTGCATCCCAGATTTAAAGATGCTTTAGCTGCTTTGCTGTAACAACAAACACTCTGCCTCTCCCTACAGTGAAACAACACACTGCATCTCCTCACAAATACAAACTGCCTGTGCAAAGGGCTGGAGAGCTTTTCTCCAGCAAGGCTGTGGAACAGCTTTAATTTTTTTTATTTTTACTCAGCACCCTCCTTGCCCAGCACTCAAGGCACGCACTGCATCCCTGATTTAAGGATGCTTTAGCTGCTTTCCTATAATGTCACTGAGCCTCTCCAAGCTACTGAAACCAACCCCTGAAGCACAGACTGAGCTGGCAGGGACACCTACTTGCTGCTCCTGTTGTCTCATGGGTCCGGAAACGTTACGCTGAGCCTGTAACATCTGCTGCTGGATTTGTAAACGTTGGTACGCCTGTGGGGACAGGGACAGTGAGACACAGCACCCTCAGCAAGCTCCCTCCAGCTGCTCTGCTGCACCACAGCTCAGAAAAGGCCAACTCTGCAGTGCTCTGAAAACACTCCACCAAGCAACAGTAATAATCCTGCATTTTGGAGTGCATTTATTGAAGTCTCGTGTTATTTTTAAAACGAAAACAACCAATAAATCCACGTGGCAAAAAGTGGTCATTAAAGAGAGGACCGTATTTTTTTTTTCTGAAATAACTGTAACACAAAGCAAAAATTAAAATAAAAGTTTATGATATTATACAAATCGTACAAATACTGATGGTTGTTTTTGATTTGGCCATTTCAAGTTCTGCCAACAGTTTCTAGTTAAATCACTTGTGCTGCTTTATTCCTGAAAAAAATCCACAATTTTCACGTAGCTGGCTCGGCAGCTACTTTTGCAAGGCAAATTCTTTTGCAAGGTAAGTTCCTCTGAAACATCTTGATGAATTCATCAACATTTTGATAAATTCAAGCAAAGGAATTTTGTAAAGGTATTTTCGTGTAGCTGGGTACTGTTCAATTATTATGAGAATAATGCTGTGCTCCTCAAAACTAGAGAAAATAATCAGAAATTAGTAATAGTATCAAACACAAAGAGTTTGACAAGCACACTGAGATCAGCAACTGAACTAATTTGCCATCTGTAATTTTATTTTTAACCCTGGCCAATACTGAGTTCACAATATCTCTTTTTAAAATATTCTTAAAATCCAATTAACTATTTTCATACGCATTAAAAATACAGATGTAAAATTTGCAAACACAGCTAAAATACACAGAAGTAAGCAGTTCTTATCACAGGACACGTTTAATATACACTCCATTAACTAAAGAAAATTCACCCTAAGCTTCATTTTTCAGTGAGGCAAGTGAAGAAGTTCTGTAGGTAGCTCAGGTGACCAGCACTGCCAAGATTTCTCTTGTTCTGCTGTGACACATGTGCCCAGTTTAATCTTTCCACTGCCATGTAACACACAGGCCAGTGCTGTTTGAGAACACACTATGTTATTCACACTAGTAGGAAGACAGCTGATTTTTAGTTCCACTGATCAGCTGTAAAGGATAATTATTCCACAAATGACTATTTATAAAGCCTGAGGCAAAAAAAAAAAATTACTGTGCTTCTTTAAAAAGAAACTTTAGCAAAGAAATCAGCAGCTGATTGTTTTCAAGATCTGTCATGTCATTTAAAAATTTAGTCATTCTCCTATTTTATCTTCATGCCTTCAATTCTGATTTAGAGCTTATCTGCCATGTCTTTTAACTTACCAGCTGCAGCTGATAGAGCTGGTTCAACATCGTCATATGCTGAGGATTATTAATTGGCGAGGTTAACTGTGCAGGGCTGAGACCAATGTTTTTTGCTGCAAACTGCAAAAGCTGTGCTTGAACCTAAAGGAGAGAAGAGTGTTAAACACTGTATATTTAATGCTAACAGTGGTAACTGTGTGAGCCATTAATAAGAGTCACATCAGCTGGAAAATGTTATTATCACCATGAACTATCAAAAAAATTAGAAGAGGCTCTAATACAATCATAATAGTCGTAGTCAAGTGTTCATTTATAAAAAAAGAGATGAGAATAAATGCCTCAGAAACACCATTGTGCAAAAAAGAGGATAAGAGTGTGCTCTCAGAGGTAATTATACGACATGCAAGTGAGAACACCTCAGCCATGCCACATCTCCCTGCCTAGGAAACAAACAAATAACACAGACACAGCCAGGCAGCAGCATGACAGAGCACATGGGAAGAGTTCCAGGGAAAGGGAAAACATGAGTGAGGTGTTGTCTGACCTGAGGGGATAGAAACTGAGGCACTTGAGCACGAAGACTAGGCTGGGATGAATTAAGAGGTTGCACTGGCGGTTGCTGCGGCTGTTGCATGGTCCTGGCTTGTGCTGCTCCGCTATTGCCAAACATACCCAGATTGCCACTCGGTATCTGCAGCAGGACAACAGTGACACAGGCACTTAGTGACACAACCTGGCTGCTACTTGTCTGTGCAGGCTTTATTCTTAGTGATTATGACAGGCAGGAATCAAGAGACCAGAACATACAAAATTTAGAATTAGGCAAGGCAAAGACTGCCGTGTACCCAACATCCCAAACCCCCAGAAATTTGTACAAAAGGCAGCTGAAGTTGAAGATGGCTTTTATAAGGATTCAGGACCCTAGAGGGTCACAACATGAACAATCAAAAGTACTTGCCAAAAGTGTTTGTATTTGTATAGCAAGGGACAAAAGAACATTAAACAGGCATTAAACTCACAGTAACCCCATGTCCAGCTGGCTAAGCAGTTTTTTTACTTAGTCATTTTACAAAGCTACTGATAATGGACATGCTATTATTGGAGACTGCTTTGGAAAGCTGTGCTTAATGGGCTGTAAGTGCTGGACAAGTATTGCCTTAAGAAAACTGACTTTAAAAGAATATACATAATAAAGAGCCACAACAGAATGATGAAGATTTTCTGTGTTGTTATTTCATATTTTTGCTGGGACTTCGGTTTGATGGCAAAAATAACCTTATCATAATCAACAGTACTTAATGGCTTCTCACTCTCATGTTATCAGTTATCATCCCCTTCATCTCCTGTCCTTTTCTTTCCCTCTCACCTGTTCTACACAGGGGCCACAACACCCCCTTAACTCATTGCCCTACCTGACCCAGGTGCTGGAAGCCCAGTTTCTTTCTTATCACCTGCTAAAACCATGAGATGCCCTGACACTTGGAGGAACAGGAATAAAAAAGCCCCCATGATATCACAGAATATTTATACCAGCCAGGAAAGATGAATTAGAGCAATCTCACTGCCTTACAGTCTGGGACAATTAGCAATGCCTCAAAAAAAGAGATTTCTCATCATTGAAGGCAGAGCCACACCAGGGTTCAGGGGTATAAATCCACAACACTGCAGTCTCTTCTGGGTGGATATGTGTCATCAGATTACAATTACACTGCTTTTTATGTCCTGTAAGGTGAAACATTACACAGCAAGCAGCCCCTCTCTGATATTGCACATGGACAAAGCTGTTGCACCTCCAGTTTAAACCCGTTTTTCCTGGGGAAGAGGCTGACAGGCACTAGCAGCTACTCCAAGAGAGCCAAATTCCCCTGGGCATCTCCCCCAACAGCCTTACCTGTCTAGAAGAATTCAAGTTTTGCATGCCCAGCCCTGAGGCAATCCCGCCCAGGGTCTGATTAGGGAGTGCACTGTTTGAAAGGGGGAGCTTCAGGCTTGGTGAAGGCAAAAATGGTGAAGTAGTGGGCTCTTCCACTAGGCCGCCATCCTGATTGGAGAAAGAAAGGGTGAGCTGTGTGCATGCCACGAGCCCACAGCACAAACCAGTCCCATGGAGACACAGGAGGGTGAGGACGAGTAAAAAGAGATGCATAAAAAAAGGGATGAATGACAGGGAATGGAAAGTATGGAGTGAAGGGAGAAGAAAGAGAGAAACAGGATTAAGGTACTGTTTTTGGTAACTTTGTTGTACTTCATCCCCCAAATGCACAATCACCCTCACCCACCTTTCCAGAGGAAAGGGGGGATTTTAGCAGCTGATGGCAGAGCTATCATGTGGCCATTGCCTCCTCCCCACATAGGTTTTCTCCTTTCTTCTCCACCAGACTGAAAGGTGGAAGAGGAGAGGCCCAGCATATTTCAGGGAAGCCCCTCTGTCTGTCTGAAAAACCCCAGACATAACCCAACACTTTAACAAACCCAAGACTTGGGAAAGGCCAAATCAGCTTATTTGACACCAGTCTGGATTAGGTTCCACATCATAGCTCTGCTCATAAAAAAGCATTTTTGCATTAATCCCCTTTCCTAACTCAGACACGCGAGCCTCTTTTAATATTCACACAGCGCTGAGTTATTAATACCCCACTCTGAAACATGACACTGCAAGGCAGCCAGTGAACACAAACCAGCAGCCCCAGTAATGACAATATCAGCTGGGCAGCCTTCCTGAACATCCCCAGGAGGAGGCAGATTTTAGCAAGGCAGGAGGAGCCCTCTCTGCTAACTGGGCTGTGAGGAAGCACAGCTGAGCGTGGATCTGATGCACAGGAGGGGGCAAACAGCAAGGCAGAAAATAAAATAAATTAGAGCACCCCCAATCAAACAGGTAGATCTCTCTGCTCGTGTTTCAGTGGGGCACTGAGTTCTATCTCAAACTGTGCTTTGATGTCTGGGAAGCCTGGGGTAAGCATGATCAAATAACACTGTGTACAAAGTAGGGCTCCAAAAAAACAGGCAGAGAGAAAAAGCTTTGATTTGCAATGTGCTGGGTTGGTGCTTTTCAGGCAGTATGATCATTGTAAGGAAAGGCTTTTTAAAGAGGTGAGGAGCTTTATTTCAACCAATATTCAATGTCCCAGAAGACTGTGAGATACTGGTGAAGCTCCTTTGTTGAAAAAGAAGCCCAGTCTGCTTCCCACATACCCAAACAGATGACCTCATGCAGCAAGCATGCTCAGTGAATTATATGTTTTAAGTTAATCCTGAAAAATGCATTTTCTACAGCTCTCCTTTGATGCAAAGGAAAAGTTTCTTTACTATCAGGCAAAGTGACACTTGACATCCTATCTGACTATCCTGAGGGGGACACTGACATTTTCTAATGATATCCCCAAGGCCTTTCAGCTTGAGATATTTTACATTCTACTGGACATCAGTCACACTCCACAAACAACTGCAGCTTGCATGACAGTAACAGGTTCAAGGATTTCTCTTTAGATCACAGACACATGTTTACAATTCTACCCTTCCCCCTTCAAAGTGAAAATAATTTCAAGCTTGGTGCTCGCTCTCCCCTTCAGATGCCATTGTTCCCTATGTGAACAGACCTACTGGCCATGAAAAACCCTCCCTATCCCCCAAATTTATTCAAGTCTTGCCTTGCTGACATTATTTTTTCTCAATTTGGAAATAGGCAGTGCCAAGGATGGTGAAGGACACACTAGAGACTCAGGCATTTCATTTCCAGACTCCTTCACAAGTGTGTTCCTTGGCTGAATTGCAGCAAATGGCTTTGTGTGAGTTTATAGCATTTTATTCATATTCACCTGGTTCTATTTTATTTAATTTGAACTTGTTGCACTGTGCTGCACAAATCTGTGCTCTACAACTGAACTAAAATCAATTTATTTAACAAGAAGTGTTTTAGTTGGTCAAATTAAGGCACCTTTTAGCATTTTCAAGCCAGACTAGAGGACAATTTTACTGCTCACAGTGGTTTCTGACCCATTATTTCTCAGGATCCTTTATGTAATAATTGTTTCCTGAAGGACAATCTTTTCCACCTAGCCTTTCCTCTTCAGTGATTTTCTTACAAATTTATGTTACACTTCTTCCTCAGGCTACTCAATTAAAAATTGAGTCATCACATAAATGCTCAATCCAGCACTGCTTTTAACTTTATTTTAAGGGATTTGGCACACCCACAAAATCCTACTGGTAGGAGTGTTTCCTACTACAGTTATCTAACACAAAGCACCACACTGGAGTTTTTTAGGATTTTAGGAAGTCTCTCACAATAGTCTCACATAACAATGTGACAGAATGCAAGCGGAATTACTCAAAGGTTTTTAATCCTATGAGATATGGACAATTTAGCAGAGGATGCCTGGACACTTTGGCAGTCACCTGCCAACAACTGCCACTTCATGAATCAAAATGTCTCAACAGGCAGATGAGAGGCTGATGAATCTGCCAGAGCTCTTTGTATAAAGACCACTTACAGAAGTAGCTGGCAGAAAATACACAGACTTCTTAAAAAAAGATTGAAATAAAAAAATCCTTTCCTAAAAGAGGAAGTTAAAGTAATAAAATCTCATCTAAAATAAAGTTATCTTCCAATCAAACAGGAATTAGGCAAAAGAAACCTGGAGGAAATGCAATAGTCAAAGAAGTGCTCATCATACAAGGGGTGATGAAAATGGTTTCAGTCATTGGATCACAGGTGGCAGAGATGAAGCAAAGAAGAATTTAAAAGGAAACTTCAAAATCCTAGTGATCATTATCTAATTGTGACATCTAAAAAAGTTTCTCCATATTAACACAATATTCTCCTTATTGTCCCAAAGATGAAAACCAATCACAGTCCCCAGAGATTACTGGGCTCAGAATGTGAAGGATGAGGCTGAAAAATCCCAACAAACACCATGTTCAAATCAGAAACAAGGAATAGGCTTAGTCAGAAGATTTTTGGAATATTTTTTGGATGCTGAGAGGCATCAAAGCTTGTAGACCTGAATTTTGCAGTAGTAGAGCAGAGGAGCTGATCACTGACTGTGAGGGTAGGGGAAAGGACACTTCATCTGCAAGGCGAGAATTTCAGAGTCACAAGCCAAACTCTATATTTGAAAACAAAGATCCCTTCTCTAGGCTTATTCCAGGTATTTTAAGGATGCTTCCAGGAAAATCTGACATGTTTTTCTTACAAATCTGATGGCTCCAGAGGACACCAGGTAACATCTCCAGGCAAACCTGACACCTAAGCACAGCATGCCTGCCACCAAGTGTGACATAATGCGCTTGAGATCACGTATCAGGCCTGCATCTTTATTCCCTCAAGGCCACTGGATATTCTCCCCTGTCCTTTTATGGTGCTACAGGTCAAGATAACATCCTGAGGAATAATAAATTAACAAAGCAATGAGTGCTGAAGATTGACTCAGTGTGACATGGAATAAAGAGCACCTGCAGCAAGCAGAGAAAGCAAACACTCAAAGGTGATGTTGAATTGCACAGATCACTCCTGATGCAGAGAGAACAGGGAGTTCACTGGGTCCACAGGCAAATGTCAGGGCTGGAAATTTGCCCTCCTCAAATGTATAAAGTTAAAAAAATATTAAGTGCTGGCTTTAGCTGTTTAGAGAAAAATGACGGTGTTTCAATGCAGGTGAGTTGAGAGTGGTAACAATGAGCCAAACTACACCACCTCAAAATACAAATTCACCTCAAAATACAAATGGAGAGGAACCCTGCAGAACTTATTGAGGACTAAACAAAAGGATGATGAGCTGATAAAGCAGTAAGTAAAACAAGGAATGCTGGCTGGAGTGCTCTGTCCAGCTGTGTGGAGAGCTTGTTCCTCACCAAGGATGACCTAAACAGAAACAAGACAGCTCCAGACTCATGCCCTGAAACAGTACCTCAAAGGGCAAAAAGGTTTTGGAGAAATTGCTTAACCAGCATGAGCTGTAAATCTGGAAAGAATTTCTTTGGAAGAATAAAAACTCTCTGTTCTTAGAGTAGAAACTATATTTATTTAATTCACTTAGCAAGTTGCTCAACACTGTGATAGCTAACAAATACAGTGTGGGATTATTTCCTTTGTTAGAGCCAAGTCACTGTGACAGATTATGCCTAGACTGATAGATTTTACTTACTGTATGAATATTAATGATTTTAGTACTCCCTTCTCAATAGTTGTGTTTAACATATGTTTCCAGAATTATGCATCATGCTGCACATAATGCACCTCTCTCTCTGGCAAGGATTTCACTGCTGAAGGTATTGTTATCCAAGAAAAGGAAAGGCTAACTGGCATGCATGCATCTTTTGTGGCCTTCAATTAACACATTCATTAAAGTCTGCCATGGCAAAGAATGAGCTTTATAGGAGTGGATTTCATTACTGCCTCACACCCTGTGCACAGCTCATGTGAAATGAATTGGTTTCAGCACAGTTTGTCAAAAGCACTGATTTCTGTGGTCAGAATCCTCCACCACTCATCTGCATGAACCTTTAAATAACCTGTGAAACACAGAATGACAACTGAGATTCTTCTTTACTTATCAATAATTTTCAGGGGGATTCTTAGGTGATTTGGAAGGTTCCTCCAGGATTTTCTGTCAAGGCTGTAAATCTCATTCCCTGCTGAAGATTTGGCTGCACTTTTCCAAATATTCTTTTCTTAAGTAACTTTGAATCTTGGACATCGCACTCTTCTGGAGCCTTTTCCTCAGTTATTAAATAGTGCTGGAAATTTTGTCATATGTGATCACAGAAAGGGAAGCTCATTGGAGAAGCTTTTTATGCAGACTGTGCATGTCTGCTCTGAGACTTAACAAAAATACCGGAACTCTTCCTTTGTATTTAAGTACTGAAATTTTCACTGAAATTTCTAAGAAGCTCAAAACTAAAATAAGTGAAATTAAGAGCCTAATTCTTGGAAGATTTTTAACTCCTCCTTCATAATTAGGTACTGAACTTCCACTGACATTTCGAAGAAGCTCAAAACTAAAAGAAGAGAAATTAAGAGGCGAATTCTTTAAGGTTTTGGCCTTGGTCCTGCCTGATTGTGAATTTGGGCAAGGTTCACTGACTGCACTCTCATAGATTGCTGTGGTTAATTTTTTGCTCTTTTTTTTCCATTTCTAGTTCTACTGTGTTCCTGATTCCTTAGCAAGTTTTCAAGTGTAAAACTGGGGATGATCATCCTTTATTTCTATGTAAAAATCAAATCACTGCTCCTTTCCACAAGGACTCAATTCCCCACAAGACTGAAAAAAGCACAAGAAAAGGAACAAAACCACATCCATCACATTTCTTTCTACGCTTTCCAAGCAGACAGTGGAAATCATCAGCATTTTTACAACTATGACTTGTGCACCACTTTCCTGTGCTGAGCTCACCTTGTCAAGGAAGGTGGGGCGGTCCATGGAAGACTCTTTGGAGATTGGTGGTGGGCGGCAGCCAAGGGGTTTGGTGACCATTCCATTGTAGTCGGTCACTCCCATTCCACGCTTGTCCATTTCCACCTTCTTTTCCAGCAGAGCACCTGCACAGAAAAGGGAAATATATTGGAAAAGGTGAGGCAGAGGGAGTAAAGCTGCAAACAGTGGTTCAGAGAAATTCATCTTGCTTACGAAAGCAAGGCAAGTGAATAAATATTTTCCAATTAATCTGAGTATAATCAAATGCTTATAATCATGCAGGGTTCCTGTGTTGCTTTAAAGACAAAAAAGTTACTTACACAGATACTTACTCATGGCCTGATCAAGATTCATACTGTTGCTCTTCAAGGCCTCTTCCGCTGGCTCTCTCTGTTAAAAACAGGAATTATGTTAAGAGGAAAAGCAATCATGTCCATGTGATTTTAAAGTAACCTGAGAAAACAGACACAACTCTTAAATACTGGGCTTAATGTTTACTCAGCAGCCTAAATAATGTCTGTGTGTGGTTTTTTCCTGCTTTCAGCAATTCTCACAATTCAGGTATTTCAGTTTGTCAAGGAAGTACTGGCTCTACAAGGTGAAACACATTGTTCTGTTTAAACATCTTCCTGTTTTCCATGAACAGCTCAAATATCACAATGATATGACTTTCTCTAAGAAACAACCCACCTTTACTCTCATTTCACCTGTTTAATGTAAAAAGAGGAATGGGAGGGGATTATTACTGCTTTTCAAAGTAATACCTGTTGTTATAAAACTATGAACTTCAAAATCTTATCCCAGTTCATCTCAGAGCTTTGAATAGGTTTAGAGCAGATTTCTGAAATCACAGTGTGTGTTTCAATGCAGGTCAGAGCTACTTCCTGGCCTGGAGACTGAAGATCTTGGTGTAGGTACAGTCTGAAACAGCCACAGTCAGAAGTACAAGCTAAAAGCTAAGGCACAGTGTGCTGCCTGAGCACTACTCACAGGGAAGCCCATGTCTGTGAGCTGTTTTATCAGACGGTTCATGATCCAGGCCTCATCCTGCTTGCTAGATGTCTTCATGCCCTTAGTAAATAAATGGGAGATTCCATTAATGGGCTGCTTGCCACGTTCATTGTAGTGAGATGTACATAAAAGAAATGGTAAGTGGTTTTTATTAATAGCACATGCTACTGAAAGATGTATTAGTACATTAATTCAGAAAGTATTGAAGAACCCTCCGAGCAACGCGACTAAGATTCTCTTCCCCCAAAAGTGTAAAAATTTATCTCAGCTGAATAGGTGTTCAGTGTACTATTTAGTATTTGATTTGCTGGCCACTGAATTAAAGCCACCTTTGAATTTAAGTATTTCATTTTAATCCTTGGCAGAAAAATATAACGAAATAAAGCTGAAATAGTACAACACTTCCTGAAAAACATTCCCAAAAACAAGTTTGCAACCTTGAAGTTAAGAATGTTACTCAGTGTATTTTCTTAAAAACAAACAAGAGCGTCTAGATAAACACCTTTAAAAGATCTTTGTGCAGCTTTTCTATCACAATATCCTTAAGAAGTCTCTTCTTTTCAGTTCTCCAGAAAGTACCAAGGGACAAGCGCGGATTTGTTTTGGGCTGTGGACAGTACAAGAAACAACCATACTTGATCAAATCACCGGCCTAACTGTTGGCTAATGGATTAACAAACAAAGTGGCTAAATGCATTCCCAATTCCTTTAAGTTACAGCCTGGCCTTGTCCTGAAATAAAGGCTGTGCAATGGAAAATTTCCTCACACAATTGTCTACGCTCTCGGTTGAGTGCAGCATTAACACAAGTTCACTTTGTTCTCACACACACACACACTGTCCTCACAAATAGAAAACAGCATTTTGTGTTAAACAGCTCCATCACAATGTTTGCTTTTCCACCACCATGGGAAGTGTCTGAAAGCCCCCTTAACACCTTCTTCTCTTTCTGTTAATACATTATCATTTCTTTAGAATACATGGAAGTTTATAAAACTTAGAGAAAACAAAGACAACAACAACAAAACTCCCAAAGCATTTGACACGCCTAAATTCAAAGATCTCCCATTTTCCCCCGGTAACAAGGTAGGCTGTACTTGAACCACTGTAGTGGCAAGCTGTGCTTGTGTTCAGGTGTCAGAGCTTTAATTTCAGGTGTAATGCACCAGCAAATTTGTGACAACTTATTCTACAAACGTTACACTAATTCCACTCTTGCAAGAGAGTGTCTTTATTTTTGTCTTACCTTTTGAAGTCCTTTCTTCGGGGCATTCCCCCAGGAATTACAGGAGGAGCTGCTCTCTTGTGAAGCAGTATTATTCCACATATCTCCTTCTTCATCTTCCCACTGACTAGTACTGAGATTCACATCATCCCCACCACTGCCCCAGCCTTCTTGCATAGATTTTGAAGCTGGAGGGAAAGTGGGAGAAGAAAAATATTATTCAGTTTCCTGCAAATTTCACAGAAATAGTCTTTTGTGCCATATCCAGTGTACTAATGTGAGCATTTTCAAGAGACAAAGAGGTTCATCACGTAGCTTAGAATGTCTTCTTTGAAGCTAGCAAAAAAAAGGAAGTTCTCTAAGAGAAGAAAACATCCAGCAACTTCCAAGTCCTGCTTTTCCCAGAACCAGTAAGATCTGTGGTCATGGCCACTCCACTCTCCCAGCAACAAGGAAGCAAAGTATGAGCACACATTTGTTAAGTGCTATTTTGCTTTCAATAAATCTCACCATTTTACCTACCACATTCTTCCATGAACAAACCAGATTTCCAAGTCATTAATGCTCAGACACTCATTCCCATCTTGAAGAATGGAGAATCTGAAAGGAGCTTGTGGGCTGCAGGAACACGTCACATTCAGTGATGAGGTTGTGTCACCTCAGTCTGTTTTTTTCTGTTTACAGTTGGGATTACTCATCTTAAAGAGTTCTCACTCCCCCTTTTATGTTTTCTGGGAATTCTAACTACGTCTCACTATGCAGGAGAGAATCTCTAGGCAACCTGCACAGCCAAGAGGAGATTCTAAAGCAATCACAGTGGCCCTCAGGACATGCAGAGATGGAGGAGATTTACTAAATACCACGAGTTAGGAATCACGAAGCAGTTCAGGATGTTCCTGAACCTGGAAACAGTTTTAATGGCTGAAGAAAACACCCACTCACTCAGTTTAACCCAACATGAGGTTATCATTAGTGGGTCTCAGGTGTTGCTTTTCCTACCAGAATCAATTCTATCTTGACTGCTCTCCACTGCTTCTCATCCCAATACAGGTTTCTTTTAGATACCAAGGGTTTAAGTCCTTGTCACGTTCTTCTGCAGTTTCACAGTTTCCTGCACCTCTGCCATGCTGCTTTTCAAACACACAAAACTACTCTCCTTTAAATTTCCAGATGGATGCACCATATTCATATTTTTGAATTAACTGGGTATTTGGATTAGTGTGGCCTTGTGACAGCTAACACAGTTTTGAGAATGAAATAATGAAGGGCACCCTGTGACCGAGATGCAGAGAAAAGCAGAAGTGGCAAAGCAAACCCCCTCCCCTGGCAGGACAGTGGCAGCCCTGTGTGTACCTGGTTTGCACAGTGCTGGGGCAGCAGCTGGAGCATTTGATCTTCCATAGGTCCCTGCAGGCTCGGCAGGATTCTCTCCCCACCCGGTCCCACTGCTGGGGGGCTTCCCCCAGGCTGAAGTGCCATTATCGACTGCAGCAGAAGGGGAGGAAGGCTCTCCCCAGGAAGCTTCACTCTTGGTGTGGACAGCAGGCATCTCTCCCCAGCCTGCTGGAGCAAGGCAAGGAGAACAGTGATGAGAGGTAAGGTTTCTTCATCAAACAATACAAAAAAAGTTTAAATTTTGCTCATGAGTTTCTCTGGAAAGAGCATGAATCAGTAAGTACATACAGTGATTGTAGTTAAGTGTGTTTAAAAAAATCCCTTAAATTTGGTTTTAGGAGTTTTTTCTTCATTCAATACTAATGCCAAGCTGTTAACACAACAGAAAGAGGGCTTTTCTCCAGAGCCAGGAGCCACCAGGCTGTCAAGTGAGCACCACACTGGTCCCAGGGAGCAGCTGCTCCCACCTGCCCAGGGCCAGAATTCCAGAGACCAAGACCCCAGTCTGACTTGGGCCTCACTTCCTTGAAAGATCTTAACCTATTTGATTTCCTTTTCACTGTTTAAAAACTATAAAATTTCTTTTCTCATGCCCTGGCAGTAAGATGCTGTTTGATTGTACCTAATCTGAGTGAAGATTATCTGTGCTGAATGTATTCCTTAAAGCTATGATTACAGCCCATGGTTACCTACCTATCCCTCATCACTGACCCTCTACATTATAATACATATTATTTTAAGGGGAATTAATCAAGACTGCAATGAGAATCCATAATCAAAGCACAGGGAATGGCAGGTAGAAGCCATTGTTTTCCTACAGAGCATTACATGAACTCACTGAAGACGTAAGCTACTCCAAAGAAACAGCTTTAGTCTGGCTGGCCTTGAATGTAATGCTCTTAAATCCATCTGACAGGATTTCAGCCCTGCAGCTGAACGTGGCAGCAACAGCCACAGGGCTCCTGAGCCTGCAGAGCAACCTGACCAACACAGCAAAGGGGTAAACTGAATTTACAGCCATTGTTACCAGAGATTTGCTGGAGAGAGGACTTGGATCACAGGTGGAGTTCAAGGTACTTTGTAAACCAGCACAAAGAGAGGCACAATAAGCAAGAAAACAAAATTCTTACAGATACCTGACAGTAACCTATTTTTCTACAATTGTAAAAAAACCTACATCCCATTACATGACAGCTGAGATCTTCACAAATATTGTAGAATTCAGTCTGCTTAAAAAATCCACTGCTAATTAGGCTGCTAAATTAGGAACTTGTTCCTTTTTCACTGGAGATGAATGTTATTAAGATGAGTATTTTCTAAGTGAATGATCAGATGCTGCTTTGCCACAGCATTATTTCCTTTTTTTTGCTCCACAATGGCATCTGTAAAAATACTCTGGAAAGGTTTCAAAAAGCAGGAGCAACATTTTTTCTACAAATTGACACCCAGAACAGGTAGGCAATGGCAAGGGAGTGTCTAACAGCACCTTGAAATACACTGGAATAACCAAACATAATGGTTCACTGAGCAACAAGTCCTTGCAGAACTCACTGAATTCCACAGAATTCCCCTTACCAGAAGCTGCAGAAGCATCCACTGCCAAACACAACTCAAACACTGCCTGGCAGAGAAAACAATCAAATAGATGGGCCCAGAGCTGTGCATTGATACCGTGTTTCTGCATTATATATTTATCTTAGGCTCTATTCCTTACAGCAGCTCTCTCAGACACTGATGCCAGTGCAGATGGCACAGGGGGTGCCAAACTCTCCACTGGTGTGTTGCAGCTTCAGAAAACTCCTTCTCTACCAGCAAGAGGCACTGAATTTAAAGAGAGCTCCTGAATTAACTCAAAATATCACTGTTTCATTCAAGCTATTTCCATTTGAAACAAAAATGCCATGGTTTAGGCTCCAGCAATGTACCTTACATTTCTGGTTATTTTAAGGTGTGCAAAGAAGATAAACTGGCAGATCCACAGATGCACCTAAATGAACCTGTACTTAACATGACAGCTTCCTTGGTGTTGCACCTGAAATGCTTATTTCAAGGTTCCTGCTTGTATTTTTTAGGCAACTTTATTTAAGGGAGGCTTTGTTTGAGTTTCTGCCTCACTACTCAGGAGGCAACTGGCAGACAACTGTGAGTATTAAATCATATTGGCAGCTGCAAAAGATTAACTGCAGGCAAATGAAACACAAAACAAAACATCTCCACAACACCACCCAGACTGCAAACAGGGACAGTGCAGAGTATTAACATCCCCCTGGCTTCATGCAACCTCTACTAGAAACTTTACCTAATTTAATTTAGGAAATCATCCTGAAAACACAATTTATACATTAAAAAGCCAAAGTGTGCTATGCTATAAAAACCTCAAAAAACCTGGTTCCTCTGTTGCCCTTAGAAATTCAACAACTTCAACTAAAGGCCACAGATGTGTCATGTCCAAATTATTTTAAGTGCTTTTAAATGCACTGAGCAGGAAATAATATGGGATTACAAATAATGGGAGAGCCAGCCTTTACTAACAGAAAATAGTACAAGTACATAAAAGCAAACAAAATAAATCTACAAAAAGTTTTCCAAACAATCTTAACAGATAAAATTAAGTGCAGGAAATTAGTAAATAAAACCTGAAGGCTGCTGGAAAAAATAACCTGTGCACTGCAAGAACTACCCTGTCTGTAAATTCTGGAGCATTTCTCAATTGCAAACCTGTTCCCCCTCCATGTAAATACTGCTGTCCCAATGCTGCTGTTTCTGTGCTATCTTCCTATGACTCCAAATGATTCTGTTTTAGAAAGTTTAAAGGTGAATGAAGTTACATTTTTGAATGAATGATGAAAAACTCCCCATGGCTGTTGGGAAGGCAAACCAAGACCTTTGAGCAGTCTCAAAACCTGAACCTGCCAAAACATTTTCAAAAGTTCTGCTTGGAGAAAACTTCCTATTTTCTGTATCATGAAAATAATACAGATTTAAGCTCTTCTGGTAAAAAGCTCCTCAAAACCCACCCAGATCTGCACAAATGTTGTTTCACAACAGAACGTGCTCCATTTAAAGGCTTCTTTGGCAAGAAAGTGAGGTTTTAGTACTGAATTGTTAGAATTGCAAGAAATGAAAAGATCCCAGTAAGTAATAAACATGGACACATTGGCAGAGCTTTGTTTTATAGAAATAAAAACATAATTAACATTGGGCCACAGCCAACAGGAAATCCTCAAGGGAAAGTGAAATGTTAACTAAGCTGTGGCAGGATGCAGTTGTTTTCCCTCAAAATAACCCTATAGCTATTTGGATGGCAGAAATTGTTTTCTTTTAAGTTGTTGGTCCGTGATAAATACCAAAGCACATGAGCACAATACAGGGAAACCAAAATATTAGAACTTTATATAGATAAAAAAGAGGATATTAGGCAGAAAAGATGTTGTTTACTAATTACACACTAATTATTCTGGGTTTTATGTATATACATTTAAGAGCCATCTACAAGCTTTAATCTTTGAGATTCTCATTTTCTGAAAGGGATTGCAGTTCATCACTGAGCATTCAGAAAGCTCTAATTTGGGTTTCAGCAGTGACATCACCCTTGTGTGAAAATCAAGGGCAGCTCTCTCAGCATCACTTGGCTGCCCCCCAAAACCTGGCTATTCATGGGCTGAGCACCCACCAGAGGGCTTTAGGCTTTCACACGAGCACCCTAAAGGAGCCCAAAGCTGAGCTGCTTTCAAATCCATTCTGATCGAAGTTCAAAGCAAGAAAAACACTGCCATGTGAGCTGCCACTCAGCAGCACAGGATTATAAAAGGAACAGAGATGTTTGGAGCTTTCAGAACTTAGACCCAATTCAGGTTTTTAAAACTTAAGCTCCTCACTCTCTAGTAACCACAGAGACCTTAATTTGTGACCTACAATCCCCACAGGAAAGGCTGTGCTATCTTCTGTTGTTTCTTTCCTCAGCTGGAGGATGCTGGAACCCTGCCAGGCTCTCCTGATGTAATGAGCAGGAAAGCATCAAGCCCACTCCTCAGCACTTGGAGGGAGGATCTGATGCTGTTTGTGATCCAAAAATCTCTTTAAATCATTTCTGTTTGCAAAACCATTTCTCATTTTTTATTCCCCTCATATCAAAGCTGCATGAGTTAGAAATGTTAGGAAGAATTATGCACAAGCAATTTTGATTAAACCCCAATCTAAGCCAAACCCACCAGCTTTCTGCCCCTCTTTCTAAGTAACTCACTAGTACCTTCAAAATAAGCTCCTATAACCACTAAAGACTGTATCTATCACATTATCTATTTCTTTCCCCCTCTTTTTTCCCTCTTCTTTTCCAATGGAAAATGAAACTCCTTAGAGCATTCCTTATTTTCACCAAGTGTTTACCAACATCTGCTTCCCATCAACGGCTTTTAAGTTCTGCCTTCAAAGGATCTGGAGAACTTCTGGGGATGGGTGACAACTTGAATAACAAGACTGTAACTTGGCCTCTATTTCCAAACTAATAAAGCATACACTCCAATCCCAAAAGGAACTGTTAATCCTTTGTGAACTCCTAACTAGGGCTGTGCAGCAGAATTAAAATCCACTTTTTTGCCTGCAGGACGTGTGACTGTGACAACTTCCAAATATTTCCATGTTTGACCTTTATACTTGTACTATACCAAGAGTTGCTAATACACATTTATATACCTTATATACACTATATCCAGAATTGCTGTACTATACCAAGTATAAGGTTTAATTTATGCCTGCTACAACTTGATCGAAATTTTCATGTCAGAACCATATTTTTAATTGTCTTCACTATTACTCATTTTGTACTTTTCCTGCATGCTGACTTAAATATATTCTAAAGCTGGCTTTGCTTATCTTGGAGAATCAAAAAAAAAGGAGAAGATCAAAGATCTGCTTATCTTAAAAGATCTTAGAATCTTTCTAGCTCACATTTTTCAAGAAGCCCAACACTCACTTGAAGCTGGTTGGGGGCAACTTGAGCAGGTTGGTTATGTGCTCATAGGCATCTTTCTGAATATGTAAACAAATTGCTTCAAAGAAACCCTTCCTCTGCTGCTGTCCATGCTCCAAAGGAATCCCTGCAGATTAACACCAGCTTTTAAATTCCATTTGCAAAGTCTGAAGGGCTCAGGACTGTTAAGTTTTCCTCTAAAAGGTGTTAATTATTTGAATAACATTAACAATGCATTGCTGTGTATGAACAGTTTCACAAGCACCAAAGCAATCCTCCAAAAATCACCTTAATGAAAAACAAAACCTCACCTCAACCTAAACAAAAATCCACTTTCATGATACTTCCATTACAATTCAGGAATCTAAATTGTTGTTTCATGGATAAAGTTTTAGATATGGATTACATGAGGCAGTCACATATGTTGGGCTAACCAAGTACAAAGCCATTTAAAGATTTCTCCTTCTGGAGCACATTATTTCATTAAATAGGTACCCTCTACTGTTAACATATTTGACCAGAGTGGGGAACCTAAGACTATTTTTATACAGACATTAAAGCAAATTTGAAACACTCCAAAACATCAAAGAGAAAAAGGATGGGAATGAGAGAATAAATCCCACTTGGAGAAAAATGTGGCTAAAAAGTCAGTTCTTAGCCATGACCATGATGAAACAAAAACCTGGAAACAAACCTCAGATGGGGAATTTAAAAGAGTACTGCATGATTAGATTTATTTTGGAGAGGTCTGTGGTCATGATATAGATATGGGCTGCTAGTGTAACTTTAATTTAAATACCTCTCTTTTAAGCATTTTACCCATTTTTATTCCTTGCTGCTTGTCTGCAACAGCACCTTGCCTTTGATTAGAAAAATTCCTAAATGTCTAAAACCTTGTCTTTGAAACACAGCTGAAGTTAGGATAACCTAACTTCAGCAACCCTAAATAACACCTTGAATCAGTCCTGCTTTTTGAGAACCACACAAAATCCAGGACGCTGCCTGTGCCTGACCCCTGAGAAGAGAACCATTTCTTCATAAAAGACAACAAGCTGGACAGAGAAACAGCAGCAGCCTAAATTCATGCAATTGTTAACAAACATCTGTTGCCAAGAGATGCTTTGCAGAAAAGAAACAGATGCAGACTGTCTAAACACACTGAGCCTGCGCAGTGGGGACAACAGAAAATAACAGAAGAAAGGTTTGCCAAAATCCCCCAGCCTCTCAAATGGCTGAATTAAAAGGTGTTAAATAACTGTGCAAGAGATGTTAAAATGACCATGGATCCACAATCTAAAACCATGCTAATGACTAAATATTGCTTCAAGCCTTTCTTACATTCATTTAGATTATGGAAATTTGTGTCAGGTTCCATGGGTTCTGTCCTCAAGACAAGAGCTTCAGAGAAAAGGAACAAACATATTCTGGACATAAACACAGGATTTCTACCCAACACACCAACAGGACAGACAGCATCCAGCAATTGGTACTGGTATAAAGCATTTCTTCACCTATTTTATGAAATATTTCACAAAACTGTTGCCATACCTGGGCCAAGCAGCGGGGACCGGTTCGGCTGGGCACTTGACTGGTGCGATGGCTGAGGTTCAACCATGTTGGTGTTGATAATGGTGCTAGTGGTGGTGGTGTTGGTTGTGGTACTGCTCTGAATTATAGGATTATTTCTATCCCACATGTTTACAGTCTTGTTGTTGTTGTAATTTGGGTCGCCCCAAGCTGAGGTACCATCATCGATTTCCATCTTGCGGCGAATGGACGGTGGAGATGGCTCTTCCCAGCCAGTTGCCTCACAGTTCTCTTTTTGTTTGGCTGGCACTGGCCCACCAACCCACCCTGACCCCGTCTGTTTTACAGAAGCAGCTCCTCCCCAGTTACTCACATTGTTGTCCTGGGGTTTATTAGCCCAATTTTGTTGGGGGCCTGGCTTTAAAGATTCCCCCCAACTTGTACCTGTATTAGCCTTGCTGTTTGTGCCATTCCCCCACCCACTGGTCCCAGACTTTGTGGAATCATTCCAGCCAGACCCCGATCTATTGTCAGAATCCCATCCAGATCCATTCTTCTTCCCATCACCCAAGTGTCCAGGAACAGATGATGAATCTGTCCAGTCTCCACCTCCTGAAGTCCAGCTTGGATTTGATTTCTGTCCATCTCCCCAGTTTTGAGATTTGGGTTTCTGAGGTTCACCCCAGGTAGGTGATTTGTCCTCCTGATTTGCGGTCCCACTCCAAGTGTGGCCGCTTTTGGCAGCAGCAGCATTATTAACAGTAGTAGAGCTTGCTGACTCTCCCCACCCCCCTGGGCCATTTGGTGCTTTGTTGTTATTGTCTCCCCAACCTGTATTTGTTGGAACAGCTGCCGGTGGAGAGTTGACCCACCCAGATACTGAAGAGGTATTTGTACTGTTCATGATGGACCCATCGTTCTTCCCCCCTGAGTTTGAAGATTGAGTAGCTGCACAACCCCAGGCCTCAGTTCCATTGTCATTCTTCCGTTCAGACCTTGGGGACTCTTCAAATTCCCAGGCAGTGTTTTGCTTCACAGGGGTCTGTCCCCACCCCGTATTGGACAGGACCCTGGGGTCAAGGTCATTTCTTGGCAACTGAACTTGCCCTTGGTCTATCATCCCTTTGTCTCTCCTCCTGCCCTCTCCAGCCCCCTCCCTCCCAGTACTGCCTTCATTTTGACTCCCACCGCTGTCGTTGCTTCCTTCACTAGCCGTGGTGCCAGATGCCGCAGCTTTGGCCCAAGAGTTCATTTGTTCATTGCCCTGCTGCATGGCAGGATTGGGACTGGTAACACTCGAGCTATCCCACCCTGTTGATCCTTTCCCATTGATGTCGCTATTGGAATGCTGGTTTGGGGGCTTGCCCCACTCGCCGTTGACGCCGTTGCTGGCGCTGCGGTTGGGGTGGCCCCAGGCTCCAGAATGCACACTGCCAACCCCGCCACCGCCCCTGCCCCACGCCAGGACCCCGGGGCCGGAGGGAGGCCCCGAGTCCCACGCGTTCGCTCCGTTTCCTTCCTTCTGCACAGCGCTGCTGGATCCGTTTTGTTTAGCACTTAATGCTGAGTTCACAGTGTCTCCATTCCCCTGACTGAACCCAGAATTGCTGTTTCCTGCGGCAGGATTACCTGGGGACATCCCCCATACTGAACTGCCCATTCCTTCACCACTGCCCCCGCTGACTTGAGAAACCGCTGTCCCGTTAGCACCAGGAAGGCCTTGCAGGTGGGGCGGGATGATGGCCCCCATGCCCACGGCCATCCCCCAGTTCGGCAGTCCGTTTGTCTGCATTGCATTGATAGGGTTTGGTGAAGAGTTCATGGGGTTAGTGTTATTTGGTCCATCAGTGTTAAGGTTCTGAGGTTGTACGCTGAAAGACACATTCTGAGAAGTGGACGTTTGTGGTTCTGTGCTCTCTTGCGGCAGCAAGTTTCCCCAAGCACCTAAGGTGCCTGTTGGGTTCCCATTCTGGTTGCCCATGTTCTGACCTATGGCACTGACTGGACTGCAAATACTGGAAGGGTTGCCTGCTCCCACAGTTCCTTCATGTCCAAGTACAGGCCAGGCAGCTGGATTGGCATTAGGGTTAAGGTTAAGATTAATGCCAGCATTCGAGTTGGAAGCACCCCAGCAGTTCTGACTTCTACCGTCTCCCATCATGTTGTCCATCTTTCCATCCCCACCACTGGCAGAGCAGTGAGCTAGGCCAGAGCTGGAGCCCGCAGCCACCCCCCACACCCTGGCCGAGCTGCCGTTGCCGTTGGCTCCACCAGCTCCAAGGGCACTCTGGTTAGAAGTGCTTTGGACGAGTGCTCCGTTGGCGCCATTATTGCCATTAGTTTTCTTTGTATGTCCAGTGAAGTTGCCTTGGGCACTCCCTGTAGCCATGCTACTGTTCTCTGAGCCACAGTTGGAGGCAGAGTCAGTGTCTGTAGTACATTCTGAGGCAGACTCAGTCTCAGCTCCGGTAATGGAAGGCCACGCTTCCTTGTCAGTCCTGTCTATTATCACTTTATCCCAGCTGCAGTTGCCTTCACTCCTGAAAGCGGGCTGCTGTCCCCAGTGGGAATTCTCATAATGGTCTCCCAATCCACTGTGGCTGAGATCTGAAAGGATCCAAGGTTAAAAATGAGTCCACTGTTCAAGCACTGCAAAAGCCTTCTATTAAAAGCACTGTTTTACATCACTAGTTACAACTTTACATTCTGCTAAAATTTAGAGTACATTCTCTAACATAATACAGCAATTTTCCTCACTACAATGCTGCAATTTTCCTCACTATGATGCTCCTACTAACTTGTTTGGGTTTTTTAAATCTGAAAAAAATTCTCAATTAAAATAACTGAACAATTTCATTTTAGAACAGAGAAGTGTTTTGTAGCCCCCAGTGTACCAGTAAAAATAAAAAGCAGGCAATAAATAAGAAGAGCAAATATAGTAATTTATGTGTAAAGTCTAAAAAGCAAATTTGGAAAAAAACCAGAAGAGTACCTAGCAGACTCTTACCATTTATTTTGACTCAATTCTCATTCTTCAGAGAAACACAGTGAAAGTGCATTCAATAAAAAAATGTAAAATGTCATCCTGCCCTGAGATATCACATACACACCCGCATCACAACACAGAAAACTCACACAGTATTTAGGTTTGCAACCCTTCTTGGAAACAAAGAAACAAATCCAGACAGCAACCTTTTCTGTTAGGTGCCAGTTATAAACACCAATGTATATTTTAGCAGAGAACTTGGGCATCTCTAAATAACTGACAGCTTTGTCAGGAAACTTACCTCTCACAGGCTTTACTCGTGGTTTATACATCATTTGGGATTTGTACACACAATCCCCTGTGTCCCCAAGCCAATGAAAAGTGATGCTGTGCCTTTTCAGCACTGTCACAGCCCCAAACACAGACACTAACCCAAAAATTAACCAAAAGCTCTTGAGCAGCTTGAGTATGACGATGAACTGGAAGGCACAACACGCCTCATGTTAAGAACTCAAGCTTTGGTCAAGGCTTTGCATTTCCTTTCCATCCCAATTGCTCTGTGCAAGATTATTTCTCTCAGATTCTTCTGACAGGAATTTGGTAACAAGTATTTCAGTCTGATCCAATCTGCAGAAGAGCTGCTCTTAACTGCTTGCACATATCAAAGTACCAAATTTTGGATGTCAATTATTTTAACTTGCTTTGAATCTGCTGCAACATGGCTTGTACTCTTTTTGTGAATAAAATGAGTATTTTTGTGGGGAAGATGGATGCAACAAATCTCCCAAACAAGTTGTTAACAACGAATGCCTAATATGAATTAATTTAAATCACAAATATGTTGGTGTGATTAGCTCCTCTAATTAGAGGTGTTCTGATACTGCAAAATTTACTCCAGAGATGAGAAGAAGCTCTCTCTCTCTCTCTCTGACAAAGTCTTGTTCACACATTTTACCTGCAGCTTTTTGAGGTGGTTGCTTGGCTGCCTTATGAAGACTTTGCAAGATGAAGAACTAACATGCTAAACCAACCCAGATTGCTTTAAAAAAAAATTAATTGATTGAAGCAGAAGAAAGCATTTTAGAGAAAGGAAAGGAAAAACAGTCTTAGTTCATTATCTATCTTCTCATCATACCAGGAAAAGACCTAAATAATCACAGAAAATAGAATTGCTTGGGTTTGAAGGGACCTTAAAAATCTTCCCATTCCAGCCCCTGCCATGGGCAGGGACACCTCCCACTGTCCCAGGGTGCTCCAACCCTGTCCAACCTGGCCTTGGACACTGCCAGGGACCCAGGAGCAGCCACAGCTGCTCTGGGCCCTACCACCCTCACAGGGAAGAATTTCTTCCATAATAATTGACAAGCACATGAAAAACCTGAAAGAATGTGAACAGAACACTTGGATTTACCTGGATTCCTTCCTCTACATGCAATGGCTGGAAAGGAAGAAAGCATCCAGTTATTCCTGGATGGATACAGCCACTGCTACAGCATGTTGAACATTTACCTGATGATCTAAGATTTGCTACACAGGTGTTAAACCGAGCCCTGAATCCCAGATAAGACATGGAAGGGGAAGGCAGGCTGTGCAAGGACTTAAAAAGGGTCAGCAGGGTCAGAGAAATGAGCCGAGGAACATTCTTAGCAGAGCAGGAATGAACAAAGGGAAAAAAGCAGCAGCAGGCCAGGCCAGAAGATAAGAAGTTGAGGCAACCAAGGAATCAGATAAGAGGAGTTACAGGAGATTTTATTCAACCCTGTGGGTGGTGCGACTCAGGGCTGCATTTGAGGCTGACAGAAGGATTTGAAAGTGCCTGGAAATCCATTGTTCCAATGAAAGGTCTCCTCAAAGCTGAAAGCTCAGCTCCGTGTGCAGGTGCTGCCCCAGCAGAGCCCTGCAGGGCAGGCTGGGGAAGGAGGATCAGGAGAGCACCCAGGACGTCTCCATGCTCACAGCACCATGGCTGATGAGATGAAAGGCAGCTGCTTGTTTAAGCAGTTTCTTTCTCCTCTCCCCAAAGACATTGGTTAAAGCAGTGCTCAAATTTGAGAAGACTTAGGAGACAAAATAAAGGGAAGGAGAGGGATTGAAGATTAAAAAATAGCTTAGAATGATTGCTGAGAGTAGGGAGCAAAATAATTTGTTAAACACAAGACCAGATCTTCAGGAGCAGTAAGAGAAACCAAGAAGAAAATAGAATTATGATGGAGAAGAACTATTAAAACCAAAGAGATGTCCACGTTAAGAGTAGAAAATGGCCAAGTGCCTGGGCTTGGTTGGCCAAGCACAGCTTGGCAAGATCCCACCAGGAATGTGCAGCTCCAACCCCGGGGCTTCCCAAGGCTTTGCAAACCCAGGTGCTCCCTGTCCTGTCCCACTCTCCCTGAGGTTCAGATGATTCCCCCAACAACACCCACGGGCTAATCTGGCAGTGGTGGCTGTGGTAGGGATGACAACAATTCTGTGAATGGGGTGTGAAATCAGGGATCCTCTGCGGAGCAGCAGTGGGGTCCTGCTGGCACCTCCCACAAATCACAGCTCAAAAATCACAGAAAAAACTTTGCAATAACCTCAGAGTGTCCAACACACACTGCAACAATCGGTTGTAACACCAAGGCTGCTGTCACAAAGCTCGCAAGAAACAGACATATGAAGAAAATGGAAAAAAGAATTCACAGCATGAACAGACACCTGCAGAAATTGGGGCTTAGCTGTCAGACAAACCAAGAGTTTGAATACAGATCTTGAAAAAAGTAATGTAAGTTTGATATTCTTGTCTCTAGAAGCAAATAACAAAAAGGCTTTTTTCCATTTTAACTAAAAGGGGCTTGCTGCTATGAAATAAATAATGAGTAGCACAGCCTTACCTAATCTGTAACAACCTTAAACATTTGGGAAAAATAATGAATGTGAAATATTTTATACGATTAAATCAAGAGAACTTTTCTGTTTGTTTGTTTTTTGAAAAAGCATATTTACTCCAACTTTCTAGGAAACTAACTGTTCACAGAAATTCACAATATTTTGTTTTCTTTTCAAAGCTGTTAAGATTGAAATGGGAAACTCATTTTCAAAATTCTTAAGAATGGGTTCCTCTTTATTTATGCAAAGATGTGAAATAAAAGCACTGAGTCCACCAGAAGCATTTCTATCCCTCCTCTGTGAGCTGAGCAAAGACTGTAAACAAGGGACAAGGAACAGGAACCACAGGTATTCCATGTTAGCAAATCCTAGTGCTGGCACACCACAAAGTGAGAACTATTTTTAAATTAATACTTTGTGTTTCAATATCTTAATTATGCATCTTTTATAAAATATCGTTGCAGTGATCAACAACATTTCTTCAGCCATCAGGAAGGAAATATTAATTTGAGGATAATGGCTTAAATTTGTTTTTAACAAGCACAGAACTTCTGTCCAACAGCAACCATACACATGACCTGGAAAATGCACAGCTCAGAGCAGTATAAATAATAGCATGAGGGAGTTGTTTTGTTTTGGATTGCTGTTTTTTTAAATAATATCCTTAATGGGGTGGGAGGAGATTGCTGGTGTTATTATGCACTGCAGCCAACATACTTGACCAGCTTCAATTCAGTACTTATTAAAAACAGAAAACATTTTTGGCTGTGTTGAGTAATGAATAATTAGTTACAAAATCAGTTTAATGTTTACATAGATTACAAGTGCAAAATATGAGTAGAGTGAAATGGGAGAAGCTGTTGCACGCATTTCTCAAAAAAGAAAATACTCTGCCTGCACAAGCAACTGACCCCAACTTCCCTCCTCTTCTGAAAATCTCATTTACCATCATATTTAATTTTTTAAAATTCAGGTGAGTTAAAACTAACTGTACCTTCATAGCTTCCACTGCAGTAATTAGTTCAAATGCTGTGCAGTAAAACCCTGTCTCCTCAGCTATAACACAGCATTCAGCTGACTTTAGAACCAAAGCACGGACAGGGTACGAAATGGCAAAGCCTGCGATGAACTTTTAATGGAACATTATTAATAAACTGTGCTCAGCCCATTTTAAATCAGATCTAACAGTGACTCCCCTTTTATGACTTGTTTTGTTTTTCAGCCCACGTCTGTCACGTAACAACAACCAGACCCCCTGGCTCGCCCTGTGCTGCCCAAAGGACAGATGACAGACGGTGCTCCCTGCTCTGACATGGAGAACACAGAAAAATCCCAAGGGCCACTCACAGTCCCACTGGGGATTTTCCTTGGCACATAAAGGTTAGTGATCCTGAGTCAGAACAGGAGGAAAAAAAGGGCAAATTATTTTCTCTCCCCTCCTCAAAATATAGTTTTCAATTCAAGGGGAGCAGATCTTTAAAATACGACAAATGAGTTTTTCTAAATCTGAATCAAATAGGAATCGCCAGGAACATTTTAAGTGCTAAATCAAATGTAGCCTAATTTCATAAAGAAAACATGACATAAGCATCTGTTCTGAAGCACAAAATATAAAAAAGCAGAAAATTTGGGCATTGTAGTGCTAACATTTCAGGTTACCTGCTGCATCCAGCTCTAAGCACAGAGACAGATTTGAAAACTGGCGTCTATCTGAAGCCCCTAAAAAGCTCACTCACAAGTCTCATGGACTGAGGAA